AGCAAACTTGTCTACCCAGCCTTGAACCTTTCTCCACCCACTGTCCTGAAGCTTCCTGAAGGCCTGTTCTCAAAAAAAGCAAGGGGTTCAATCCCTGTTAAAATATAAATACTTCTAGGAGGAATCATACTTTATGTTACCATCGGTTTTTGTATACTTGAAAGACAAAACTGATACTGCTATACTGGATCTAAAATGAAAACTCGGCACCACTGAAAACCTACCAGCCTCACGAATTTGTCTAAAGTTGGCCCGAGGATGGGTCCAGACCAAACACTTGCACGACAGCCAGCTCCCTATTGTGAATACCTCCCAAGTCTCTAAGCACACCTGGGGTTGGTCTCTCCATCTTTGGCCCTTTGAGGAGAGTGAGCCTTTCTAGGCAGGCCCCAGCCTTCTGGGGAAGAATCGCCAGCATTCGCAGGCGAGTCCCACAAAGTCCTTGTGTCCCATCCATGAGAAAGGAGCAGGACAGGGGGCGGTTCCTTGGGAGAAGGAAAGCGGGGGTCTTCCTCCTCACTATCCCAGGTCTCTGGCTCGGACGAATGGTATCGTCCTTGTCCTTTGGCCTTGACTGAGTAGACACTCTAATTTATCTGGCAGTCGCTAGTCTTTTCATTTGGGGATCTGATGAATTTTGCAGTCTGCAGTTGACTCAGCATGTCCCCAAGTGAAGGAATCTGTATATTCTGTCAATCTCCATTGCTCTGGGGAATGTTTTAAATGGTATTTGGTGATTAAAAGCAAGATACAATCACCCTATGATAAAGAAGCTAATGATCAAGGGCCCTCTAATAGCTTTTATGTTACTGCTAAGTCACAACACTCTCTCGACTTTTTATTCACACAAATGAAGTACAAATCAAATAAAAGCAAACTGTCTGTCAATAGGTTGGTTTAAATACCAGATTTCTTTTTTTCTTCCCCTTTAAATAAAGAGCAAACAGGGACAGAAAAGAAACAAGATGGTACCTTTTATGTTTGTTTTAATAGTTTTGTTTTTCTTTTCCTGCCTTCCTCCTGCAGTGGGCTTGAAAGGCCACAAGATAAGTGTTTTTCATTCATATCCCTGAGCTGTATGTATTTGGAGATGACAAAAAAAAAAAAAAAATGCACTTTTTTGTTTTCCTTTTCCATTTGGAGGCCTCCTGTCAAGGTGCCCAGAATCATGCTTCTGGAGCAGATGGAGAAGGCGCATGAAGCCGTGCTAGGGAACCGCGTTTCCAGAAACGGCGTCTGTGTCACCAACCAGAACGGCCCTGGTAGCCTACCGCGCCTCTGTGTCCTGTACCCACATCCAACAGGACACTTCGCGCCTGGCCATTCTTAATATTTATTAATTTGGCACCTGCTTCTGGAGACCCCATTTTTTCACCTTGAGGCCAACAAGGCTTTCTCACAATCAGGCTTTGGCCTGATGATGGTGTCAGAAAGAATCTTGAGATAGGAACCACATCTGCAGCCAAGATGAATGGAGTCATTCCAAGGAAGAGGACATAACAGGTAGCCTTGAAAGACAGCTGTTCAAGAGGGAGCCCTTGTCTGGTGTCTGCAGACCCCTTGAACCAGGATGTAAGAATTTGGGGGTAACAAGCAGTCTTTCCCTGGTATCACTGGAGAGGTGAAGAAACCGACACAGAGAGAAGTCAGAGATTTTGCTTACGATGCTCAGTTAGTAACAGATGATGCCGAGTCTTCAGAGAGCCAAGCCCAAGGATACAATGTCACCTATGTAGACTCTCAGGAGCAGAACGACTTTATCATCACTGCAGTCATCAGCCATTTCCCACCCTTCCCCATGTGCCATATCCTCACCTCGTTCGGCTTCTCAATTTTCACTGCAGTCAGCCAATACTCTCCTTCCCTAAGTCAATGTTTTAAAGCTGATTGATCACGGCCTGATATCCCCACAGAAGACCCTTGCCAGAGAAAGTAACCCCAGATTCTTTACAGCTCACCTGACATGAGAAGCATGTTCTGGAGGACTTGGCAGATGGCTTGCAGCCTAATCCATCCTTACTTGTTTTGGCCTCCTCATATAGAAAATAACCTCTTCCAAGGGGACATTGGATAAGAAATTTCAGAACAAAATTCTCTATTACAGTTATTAAAGGGATATTGTTGAGAACATTGTCCATTTTATTTTTCACTTTCCTGAAATCCACACATACACACACACACACACACATACACACCCCTCTTTTAGCTCTAAGACTTGTGGATTTTTCCTAATTAGGACACTCATTGCTTAAGGTCAGTATAGTTAATGTAAATTTTTTATAAATCATTTATTATAAATCATTTAAATAAATCGCGGGGTTTTTTTGGCTGTCAGGAAACTCAAAACCAAATGTGCAGTTTAATGTCAGCTGAAGAGTATAAGATGCTAAATGAAGCCTGTGTATTTGCAAATTCTTCCTGTTTTGCAATTCTCTCTCTTATCACATTCTACCTTATGTCCTATTTTATTTATATTCTCAAGACTACAATATTTGTTTTCTATTTTATGATAGACTAGATATTCTTGCAAGAAATCATAAATCCCAGGGAAAGATAGAGATAAATAAAATGCATCTTCCATTTTCTTCATTAAATTTTCAATAAGCTGATTTTAAAATTTTATAAAAATATTCAATGAATACGTATCACCTGGGCTTTTAAATTTTAGAATCAGAACATAAAATTTAATTTCGTATAAATTTTCAAATATTTAACTAGTTTTCATCTGTCATCTAAAATCAAAGGTATACAATCAGAATAGATTTTTAAATTAAGGTTGCTGACTCGTAAATTATCAATTATATTCTATTTTTCAACACGGTGACTTTTTAACTTATTTTCTTTTATCACCAAACTAATTCATAGTATTGAGAAGCATTCAAAGGATGAAGCATTTGACCCATTAATTCTGTTTTATTCTATAAGTATATTCTAGAGTTAAAATTTTAAATGCTTTATTTTGCCATGTAAAACTATTGACAGTTAATAAATTTTGATAAAAGATCCTGACTAAACACATTTTCTAAAGGCTCTCTCTGTTGGCATCTGCAGCTAAACTTAATCTCCTTTATGACCCATTGCTTTTGGGATTGGAAGGCTTTTTTTTTTTTTTTTTTTTGGTTCTTGTTTTGGTTAATGTTTCCCCCAGAAACATCAACTGTTGCTGTCATTCTTACCAAAGTAGGTTATCTCATTGTTGGTTCATATAAGCCAAGCTCATTTCTTGCAAAATATCTTTTAATGATCCAAAGTCCAACCACTAGACCAGTTGTCATGAATTAAGCCTCTAATATCAGAAGTAAAAGGGACAGAAAATGAGACTATTTTAGTTTCTGTATCTTCTTCCCTCTTTCATTCTTTTATTTACAGAGAGTGAAGAGCAACTGGTGAGGTTTTGGGTTAAAAAAGGAAATTTTTTTAATGTCAGATGGTTAACATTAATTTAAAAAGACAAATTGGACATTGAGTCCTTATATTCACCTAGAGTGTCACACACTTGTTATTCATTATTCATTGTTTTCATCCATATTCACCAAATACGTATTCAGCACCTGCTCTGCACAGACATCATCCTGTGAGCAACCAAGGTTAGGGAAAAGCCATATTATGGAGGAAGCCAGAGAAATAGGAGCTAAAACACTTGTCCCTTGGGGAACCAACAGGCTACTTTAAGAAACACAGCACACACCAGGGCCTACATACTGTAGGTGCTACATCGACATAGGTCATATTAAACTGTACCCACAAAAAACAATTTCGGGTCTCTAATTCAGCAACATATCATCATGTCCACATGAATATAGATCAACCCGAGATTGAGACAATATGTGTTATTCAGAAAGCAAGAACATTAGACCCTGCTAATTTAAATCACCCATTTTATTTCAATAAATTTTTCCCCATGTCGTCATTCCTGATTTTTCTCTCTAAAATTGAGAAGTACTTTAAGAATGTAGGCTCTGGAGCTAGACTATCCAGATTTTTTTTTTTTAATTGAGGTATAAGTTACATACAATAAAATGCAAGATCTTAAGATTTTTAACATTCGGTCTGATGAGTTTTAGTAATTGTACACACCCACTTTACCACCACTTAAATAAGGTATAGACCATTTCCATCACCCCAGAAAGTCCCTGTGCACCTCACCAGGCAAGCATAATTTCTGCTACCGTAGATTAATTTTGTCTGTTCTTAATGTAAATGGAATCATAGATCACATAGTTTTTTACATCTGGCTTCTTTCACTTGAATAGTCTTTTTGAAACGTTGGTTTGTTCCTTCGTGTGGCTGAGGAGCACTCCATTACATGGATAGACTACCGTTTATCTTTTCTCTTGTCAGTAGAAATTTGGGCTATTTCCAGTCTTTGGCTCTTATGACTAAGATTGCGATCATTGTACAAGTCATTTTGTACACGTATGTTTTCATTTTTCTTGGATAAATATCTAGAATTTAGTATTTCTTGGTCATAGAAGAGATATATGCTCAACGTTTTAAGAAACTACCAAATAGTTCTTGTATGATGGTCATTTTATATTCTTATCAACAAATGTGTCAAAGTTCAGGTTGCCCCACATCCTCACATGTGGTATTGGCAGTCTTTTGGGCTTTAGCAACACCATTTTCATGTGTGTGAAATAGTAGCTCACTATGATTTTAATGTTCAATTCCCTGATGATTAACGGCTTTTCATCTGTTTCTTGCTATTTGTACATGATGTTTTATAAAATGTCTGTTCAAGATTTTTGCCCTTTTTTTTTTGTGGTTTGTTTTCTCATCGATTTGTAGGAGCTCCTTATATATTATGGATATGAGATCTTTATCATATATATCAAATTTTTTATAATTATCAAATATATATCAAATATTTTTTCCTCATTCTGTGGCTTGAATATCCATTTTCTTTTTTTTTTTCAGTTTTCTATCTTTCACACACCAGTTATTTCATAAATTTTTTTGTTCTACTTTTTTACACCATCATAACAAAAAGAGAGAGGGGTGGTCGCTTCAGCAGCCCACACACTAAAATTGGAACGATACAGAGAAGATTAGCACGGCCACTGCACAAGGGTGACACACAAATTTGTGAAGCTTTCCATATTTTTCTAAAACCTATTGAATAGTTTGTTCTTCGGTTATGCTTTGTATGGTGGGTAAGGTAGAAATTGTGGGAGAAAACTCTGAATAACAAAAAGCAAGTTTTGAAAATTGTAAAGATGATTGAAAAATTGAATGTGAAACACAAGATACCAAAAAAAATTTCGTCTGTTTTTAATAATTATATTATTCTATTATTTTATAAATGTGTAATAAAGAGGTCCTTCTTGATTGGAAAAAAACAGTGAGAGAGAAGGGAAGACAGAAAGAGAGTGTATTTTATGCCTGTAAATGGTGGGGGGGACGGGACACAAAGAGTTGGGGCAAACCAAACACACATGGTCTCTATGGAAACATGGAGTTTTGATAGCAAAACATTGTAGGAAGCAGGCCTTGGATACAGAGAAAGGTGGTTAGTGACTCTATCCTCAAGGGGAGATGGCACCGTGCAAAGCGATGAAGCAAGTTGTCTGTGTGACCCGTCAAGGAGGGAAGGGACAAGGGACAGGAGCAGAAAGGAGTTTTCTAAGAAAAGAATCTAATGAATGTGTTGAATGTTCATTTTCTTAATGATGGAGTAGACCTCACTTGGTCCCTTCTTCCAGTTAACTTCTCTGGGGAAGGATTTAGACGTCTTTTCTTTTTGATATCACTTATCATCAATCTTTTATTTTTGTCATATAAAAAAAGGAATATCTCTAATTCTCTCTCTATCCGCTCTCTGCTCCTTTGCTTATGGTCTTTGCTGAACCTGACATGCCCCTAAAGTGATCTATATGTCCCTAGTCTAAATTAATTGCTTCTTTCTCTAAACACACACAGCACTTGACTTCTCTTTCTTTCTATATTAGCAGTTTATACATCTTCAATCCAGACCTCTTCTTGAGCGCAAGACCAAGTAGACATATTTAGCATGTCTATTTGGATGTCTCCCTCCAACCATTCAGCCTCCAAAATGGAATTCTTTATTCCTCTCCCCGCAAAGATATTCCCTCTTTGGCCTTTCTGTCATGGTAAGTGGTACCACCATACACCAAGTTCTTAATCCAGACTCCCATATCTAATTCCTCAGCCAAGGCCATTGATCTTACCGCCCTTCACACTTCACCCCAAAGATCTTGAATTTATCCTCTTGTCTCCAACCTACTGTCACATCCTACCAATCACTGCCATTTCTTACCTAGATTCTTACACCCTTTTGACTTGGTCATCTTTCTCCCCACTACAGTCCAACGATGCAGTCTTTCAGGTAGCTTCTAGAATGCAAGATATCTCTTCTCAGATCTTTGCATTTGGAATGTTCTTTTCCTATAATGCTCTTTTTAAGGCTTCCATGATCTGAAGTAGTACCACCTCACCTACGCTGATACTCTCTATCACAAAACCGCCTTCATTCCCTTCTTAGAATTTATCCCAAACTGTGGTCACATTTTCCTTGTTGCTCTTTTCCACTAAGATGTAAATTCCAAAAGGATAGGCTCTATGTTTTTCTTTTTCACCAGAATATCTCCAAGATCCAGCAAAGTGCCGGACACATAATAGGCACCTACAAGGATTATTGAATAGAGAATGCTTCACTGATTCGAATCTCGGATCATGTCTTTTTCATTTTCTATTTACCTCAAAACATTTCTTTGCAAATAGTAGGTATTATAAATGCCTTCTTGGGCAGATTGCATTGACTTCCTTCGAAGTCTTTTGCAAACTGCCTTACCTTTCCCAAATCAGCTTTTCTGATCTCACTTCCTATATCCTACAATCTTTTCCTCACCTAGCCCATCTATGCCCTACAGCTCAACCCCAAATGTGTTGTTGCGCTTAGATTTATGCACTGCATACGGAGAATTGCATCTTCAAGATACCGGATAATAAGCAACAGTAATTTTAGGCAGATTCAGTCAATTTGGTGAAGAAAAACCAGCTGCTTAACAGAGCTGACTACTCAGCTCCATCAGACAACAAACAGACCAGGTAGACACTGCATCCAGACACAAACCCTTGCTGTTTCCTATACCTTCCTCTGCCTGGTACCACGCTCCCCTCTCATGAGGGTATTTGAGTCTGATCCTCTCAGCCAAGCGGCAGATGGAGAAATTGTTTGCAATCGAGATGAGAATATTTTATCAGACTTCCTACAAATGGGGTCTACTGAATTTTAATCTGCCGGTAAAGCACTGACAAAAAAAAAAAGAGGAACAGTCTCAACAGGACATCCTGTAAGGTCTCCTCAGGAATTAGTGTGTTTTGGGTCAACATTCAGTCAATAGATGATAAACGTCCAAGGGCAACTGAGAGAGCCCCGAAACAGACACTTCCCTGGTCCCTCCAGCCTCCCAGTGAAGGCCACATGGCAGAAGGGGACCTGGGTCGGGAGCCAGGAAGTCTGTATTCCAGACCTGCTTCTGGCCCTGACTCCTTAGGTCACCGCCTGTTGGTGATGTCACTTTTCAGTCTCTTGGTTGCTCCATCTGTACAATGGAAAGAATGCATCATATTTATCCCAACTGCATTGTGAGGATACTTGGAAAATCAACATACCATACAGATAGATGAACCAACTTTCTCACACAACTCCACAACAAGCTCTATATAATAATAATGGCTTCTGATGTTTATTGAACAGTTACTATGTGCTGGATATGTGCAAAGCAAATATATACACACGAAGGGTACACACAAAGGGCATTTTGTTGCACTTTGCATGAATTCTCTCTCTTAACTCCTATTAAACTCCGAAAGAGGATGCTTTTTTAAAAGGGCACAAACATTTGAAAACTAGCCCATCTTATTAATAGATAAACTTTGTTTAGTATTGCCTCAGAAAATTGAAAACAGAACCAGGCAACCATCCCCAAAAGTGCATTGCCACCACCTCTAAAGTACTCCCCCCACCCCAACCTCCTTCCTCCTACACGGATACAGTATATATACACAAACACATATACAAATAAACACATATACAAATAAAAGTAACAGTCCAGGTTTACTGTGCACTGGCTATGTGCCAGGGACTGTGGCAAGTATTCTATGTGTATTATCTCAATTACTCATCAACGTTTAAAGTAGGTACTATTTTTAACCCCAAGATGATAAAACTGAGACAAGGAAAGTAGCTCGCTCAAGATCAGAGGTAAGAGCTAGAGGTAGAACTGGAGCCTAGTTTTTCTGAAATCCAGAACTCGCTTTTCTATGCGGTCCTCCATACAACCTCTCCATCATGTTTCCCCATTTTAATATTTCTAAATTATTAAAACTGATGTGTACATGTAATATAATAGCAGAGGGCCTTTTAATGCTCAGTAAACAAACAGTTGTTATTAAAACAATGGCACCTGAGAGCAGAGGAAACAGTATGAGGACATATGCACAGCAGAGTACAGGGGGCACATGGAAGGCAGGAAACTCAGTCCCCATTTCGGCTCTGCCAGTACCGGCCATGTGACCTAGGACAAGCCATTTGGTCTGTCTTCGCCTCCGTCTCCTGGCTCAGAAAAGGAGAGAACTGAGTTAAAAGCGCGTTCTAAATCTCTGTATGAACTCTAGTACCAGTGAGTGTGTAGAAGGTCATTCTCCAGCCAACAGCCTGGCCCGGGCCTCAGCAGCTCAGGGAGAATAAAGGAGGCGCTTGCGAGACCTCAGCCGCGAGCGTGCTGCCCGCTCCTCCCAGTCACACGCCTTTTCAGCAGCTCTCCGAAAACACAGGCTGCATCCAAGGCGCCTGTTCCAGCAGCACTTCTGTTTACCCCACCATCAGGATGGTGTCATTTAGCCAGAGCCATCATTCATAGTCACACCAAATGGCCCATGGAAGAAAAGTTGGTTACACTCGAAGAACAGATGACAAGTGACAGGCTCTGCTCCTGATTTTCCACAATAACAGAAGAGACCAGCAACTGCCATGGTGGTCCAACACCCGAACAAACTATTCCCTTCCAAGCGGACGTGGTCTGCCGATACCCGCTCCTCTGTGGGGTTTACAGAGCAAGCATCTCTGTTTCTTGTCTTCTCCTGGATGATACTGGGGGAGCCACACAAGGCAGCCCGGCTCATCCGAGATGGGCTACTAAGTAATTTTAAATCTGTGAATAGAAATAAATCACGTAACTTCTCTGCAAACCTTGTGCTGCCAAAGTAAGCAGAACTGACATGGGTGATGGAGAGAATGAGCTGAGGACCAGAGACATAAAGTAGAAGAAGAAGTAGAGAAGCTCTCCACCAAAAGCAGCCACTGGGGACAATGGAGCTGACTTGCCAATCCCCAGGCTGGTTCACTTCTACACCCCTTTATTTTGGCTACGGAAAGGCAAAACAAGACATCTGCCTGCTGCTTGTGGGATAATCAGAAAGTCCAGTCATTGAAACCGGGAATTATGGTTTTTTTTCCCAGCCTGCTCTGTGGAGGCCATTCATTTCTAATTTAAAAGTTCTACTACAAAGGCCAGGTCAAGTTGTAACTTTTTTTTTTTTTTTTTTTAAGTTGAGACATGTAAGTTCGCTATTCGTGCATTTTGAACTATAAAAGTAGAAATATCATGTGATTCAACCTCCTACTTCGTGCAGCCCCTGTCCTAGGTGTTGAAAATATAGAAATAAGACAGTCTAACCTCAAGGGGCTGCCAAGAGAGAACCCCATAAAGAATTGGCTGCAGATCAGGGATGTCTGGTGCTACGAGAAAGATGAACAGAGGAAGCGGGGTGGGGGTAGAAACGCAGTGTCTTGACGTAGGAGTTTGCTCCTGTCCTTCACAGGAGTCCAGATCCAGTGGGATAAGCACAAAGCCCCCGTTCTTGTCATCTTAGCATCTGGGGATCGGCCCACAAACCCAGAATGTCAAAGCCAGTGTGAGAGCAGGGTGAGTTCTGAACCTGCCAACCTTGACTGAGTCTCTTTAGCATTTGTTATTTTTATGGGTCCCTGGATGCTTCCCTTGAATATTAATTTTCCTCAATTCTTTAAGTATATATTAGTTATTACATATCTTTGATTAATATTTGATGGCCGCTTAGG